TCTGTCTAACTCCAGCACAGCAGATAGACTGCAAGGTATAGACCAGGTAAATGACATACCTGTTCAGGTGGGCAGGACATGGCGAGGAGGTGCAGATCTAACACTGCCACCACAACACTAGACAGACTGTACCCATCAGTCACACAACCCATTTAGGTGGCAATTTAACTATCAACTAATACATTACACACATAGATGTTTCAAAGTCACAAATTCAAAAACATTCCAATTTCGGATGCTGATATTTGATAGTTAGAATTCACACATGTTGTGATTATTTAAAAGCAAGGAAGTATACTGACTCTCTTTAACTTCAAATATTCCAAAATTCATTTTCTTCAGTCCATTTAATCTATACCAAATAAAGTGAAGTAACCTGTATATGTCAATGTGGATATGAAATCTTACATGTCTAAATATCTAATATATTTCAACTTGATTTTAAGAAATGCTTCAGAAATGCAGTCTGTAACATGATAAATCATAATAGTGTAAAATAGATAAGAAATAAGACAATATATAAAATGATCACGTTTAAATCTTATTTTAAAGTACTATACTTTAAACTTAATGTGTGCAGTTTAGAAACCATTATTATAAAACTATCAAAATACATGAAATTCATATGATATGAAGAAGCTTAAGTGGTATCTTTTAATCTGCATTTACAAGCTACATACACAGTGAACTATTTACCCACTTATTCTTCTCTTTATTTCTATATAAATAGCTTCAAAGATTGTGTGACTCATACCTGCACACTTTAATATGTATATTTCAACAGTATTTACATTCTCAGTGAAGCATCTTACTATCATCACTCAGACATTTCCCAATGAAAGGAATACCAGGGTTTAAGTAGGTGTTAGTAATCTCGGTGAAATTGTTACTTGTTTGCTGAAATATGCAATACAGACAACAGTACAGTAAAGTAGAAAAGGAAGAGACTTCAAACTGCTTGTTACATTGACTTGAGATGACAGGTATATATCATAGACTACATATGATACAAGTGTAGCCTGTCACCGCTGGGTTCGAACTAGTGACCCTTCAGTATCTACGGCTCAACTAAAGGAAATTCCCACTGAGCTGGAGCCACTAAGGCAACCTGTACTTGAAATTTCTACATAAGTACACATATGAAATATTAATCTACCAACAAAACAATGAAGGACTATCAATATTTCAAGATTCTGAAACTATAAATCAATTTTTCCCATAGCAATGGAAAAGTAAGCTACTCTTGGTGCTGCTGACTTTTAAACTCAATAATTTGTCTAAAGAAAACAGCATCTTAAATACAGACGTTTTGGCCATACTACGCGGCAGATCTATACCAGAACTATGATTTTTGAAGTGAAGCTAAGGTAGCCAGTGAAACATTTGTTAAAGGACAATATTTTCAGAAAAGATATGGGGACATAATGAAGTTGCCAAATGTAAAATTATTGCAGGGAACAGATTGGAATTATGGCTTTCCCATTCTCTTATTTGATACCTCAACACCTCCATGTTTTCAGAAATATTCCAAATATGCAATACCAATAAGAAAAGGGTCATATGAGCTCCTAACTTTCAGACTTGCACCAGAAAAATTAACATTCCTTGACCTTTTGGGAAATATAGGATGTACAACTTATTTTCATTTGCTTTATTAAATTCCTGCCCCCCAAAAAAGGAGAAAAAAAAGGGGGGTGGTGGTGTTGGGGGGGGGGGGGTCATTCCATACATATACATATCATTAAAATGTTTCCATGTAAGAAAAGAAAGGCATTTGTAGTATGGAAAAAATACATGAATATATAAAATATCAGGTTTATAAAATTCCTCTAAGAGAACCTCAGACATTTAAAAGTAAAATGCAAGTCAGTAGAAATATTGCCTAATGAAAATATCACTATGAATAGTTAAGATAAAATCTTTTATCTAGCAAATAAAGTGGAGGTAACATTAAAATCCTCATTTTTTTTCTAAACCCTTGTACGTGATAATTTTCTTTCATAAAGGAAAGAAATTCAATCTGGGGATCATACAAAGGCATAGCGATGGATAAAAAGTCATGTGACATGTGTGGTGGGTGAAGTGGCAACCCCTATTCGTGTCATGGCATTTCCATCTACAATACCTGTACACAGGTCCCTATAGCTACCAGGCAAACAATGGAAGACCCGACAGATGGTATCATTGTATGGGGCCCTACCTAACACCTGTCTGTGGGGTCACGACTGGTCGCACACGTTCAGTACACCATATCCTACTACCCCAGGTACAGCTGGTCACAGTCCACAAGTGGAAAGACAAGGGACTTTGAGAGTGTCTTACCTGTAGGCTTAATGGGGCCATGTGGTGTAAAATTTAGAGAATTTTAGAAAGCTAATGTAGACTCAGTACAGGTGTTTTGATATATATCGATGGAAACCATTTAACAAATAGAAAAATATCACCATTCAGATGAAATGTAAAATATTTTAACATTCCAAAAAATTTATGCAATATTCACATTATCAGGTACCTTTAATAATGAAGTTTTGAGAATTTAAGTATATTGTTAAAAAAGAAACATCAATCATATTGTTTTTCTATTCCATTTCCGTCGTTAATATATCAATTTAAACTGCTGTAATTATCCAACGTGGACAGAGTGTTAAAATCAATCTGTGATTAATATTCTTTTGTTTTTGATATAAAACCTAAAAAAAATTTCCTAAGAGTACTTACAATTCTATGAACTATTTTATGAATGATGGATACGATAATGTGACATACCAGCTGACATGTAAAGTTACTATACAATAGTTGTATTATATATATAACGTACCATTAACTCCAACAATAGTCATTAGTGATGTAAAATTTATTCTTACAAATGTATGTTTAAGTCATTCCAAAGTTCAGGTCAGTCTAAAGATTATGTCAGGAATATGACCTACTCAATAATTCCGTACACATATATGCACTATAATGCACCACACTTATCACAAACCTATATCATTGTTAAAATCTTACTATAAATATTGTCTGTTCCAATTTATATTGCCATTCAAGGCTATCTTTAAGATTGTAGATCTCATGACGTCTGCACCGACAACAATGACTTGCTAAGTATATATGTCCAACTAAATATATCGGGCTAGTTCAGTCCACTTTAAAATTATTTACGACTTTGGCATTTAAATAAATAATAAAAAAAAAATCAGTGATTATTTATCAAGGTTTGCATGATTAGCCATGCTACATACAAAATTGTTTGAGCAATTGTAATGTTTGAGTGTCATTCTGCCATTTGTGATTACAGCGAGTCTGAAAATCTACAGAATCGTAGCTAAAAGCTAAGCCCCCACACTAGGCACTGTGATTTAACAACAAAGCAGTAACTTCCCAATAACAGAGGTACAATAAAGGATTAGACTCTTGAATTGATAGACGAGTTTTACACTAAACAAAGATTAGATAAAGTTAATAGATTTGTTTAATATATTTGTTTTAATTTGTAATCTGGTTTCTTAAATGATAACATATTTTGGTTTTCAAATTTTCAACAAACAAGAAACATAAAACAGCCAGATTTTCCCTTACAAGTGGGTTATAAGGCTGTCATATACTTATGGTTCTTTTCAATATTTTTTTTTATCTATGCCTATCAGTATGTTCCATGACTTTATTTTATCAACTCTAAACAATCAGGGTTCTTTCAGACAAATTTCATGATCTTCACAGCTGCGTTAGAGATATTACATAGCTAAATTGTTTTATAATCTGTTCCATATGCCTTTTACATAAAGGAAACTGTGTTCAGAACAGACGCTCTGGTTACAGGACTTGTGCATCATCAAGACCCATGACAGATTTTTCATGAAAGTTGACTTCACATTATACTTCTATATATTAGGGGTGAAGTACTGTCTGTATTTTGTTTCTTTACAAGAGTAGTATATGCCAGTGATAGTTAAGTTCTGTATGCATGAGAACTTGTACACAAATGGCTTTTAATTTCCACCCAACCATTTTCTGTTTTCTATACAAATTCCCTGTTATATTCCTATTATTGCATCAACAGTAGATGCTTTCACACGGAAGAAACAACTGGACAGGGTTGAGAATTTCGTGTAAGAATCAGGCCGGAAGTTATTGTGTTAGTTCGTATGAAGGCTACATCTGATGCATGCTACATTCTGAGAAAAACCTAACATAAACAAGGAAGATAAGATGTGGCAATACTGGACAACCTGGAGCAATAAATGGAAATTTGTTTAACATCACAGACACTTTTTAATACCATGGACCACAGATACCTGTAACACTATGGTTAACTCTGTAACACCATAGACATCTTATACCTCCATAGACCACAGACACCTGTAACACTATGGTTACCTCTGTAATACCATAGACATCTTATAACACCATAGACAACATCCTGGTTAGCTCTATGACACAATTAGATACCTGTAACACCATAGTTACCTCTGTGACACCATAAGATACCTGTTTAACCATGGTTACCTCTGTGACACCATAAGATACCTGTAACATCATGGTTACCTTTGTTACACCATAAGATACCTGTAACATCATGGTTACCTTTGTTACACCATAAGATACCTGTAACATCATGGTTACCTTTGTTACACCATAAGATACCTGTAACACCATGGTTACCTTTGTAACACTATCAACACCTGTAAAACCATGGTAACCTCTGTACCACCATCAGATACCGCTTACACCATGGTTACCTTTGTGATACTACCATATTTTAATCTACCTACGAGTCTCAGGACAAATGATTCATACATTTCTAATATGTCCGGTTAAAATTTTTAAATGTCTCATTATTTTCTTGTGTTTTGGTGGAAAATGTCTGGGCATTTTAAAATGTAGATAAATCACTGCACTATAGACACCTGTAACAATATGAACACTGTACTACCATGTACACATAGTTAGACACAATTATTCCAAGAACACCTAATGTATCTATAGCAGTGTGGAACACTTACCTGCATAAGGACTGTCCATAGTAAACTGTGGTACACACTGCACCATTCCTACAGGGGTCGGGGTCACATGACGGAAATGCTGCAGAAAGAAAGATCACAAAGTTAAAATCAAAGCATTATCTCGTGACACTAGTTGAAAATGTATCAAGATTTGTGAATTCTCACAAAGAATTTAATTTATGATTCAATGAAAATATCTAAGGTTTTCAATTATATACAGGGCACAGGTTTTAACTTGAAAAAAAGAGATAATTGCAATTTATTACCATTAGATAGAATATAATTTCAAATGGGTCACAACAATAGGCCTCAACTTTGTAATGTATGTAGCATGGGGAAAGTTCTGATTTTTATAGTATGAACACCTAACTATCAGCATCCCATGAGGAACTGTATGCATCCAGAATGGATAAAGGACGTCCAGAATGAATAAAGGACATCCAGAATGGATAACAGACATCCAGAATGAATAAAGGACATCCAGAATGGATAAAGAACAGCCAGAATGGATACAGAACATCCAGGATGAATAAAGGACATCCAGAATGAATAAAGGACATCCAGAATGGATAAAGAACATCCACAGAATGGATAAAGGACATCAAGAATGGATAAAGGACATCCAGAATGGATAAAGGATATCCACAGAATGGATAAAGAGCAGCCAGAATGGATAAAGAACATCCACAGAATGGATAAAGAACATCCACAGAATGGATAAAGAACAGCCAGAATGGATAAAGGACATCCACAGAATGGATAAAGGACATCAAGAATGGATAAAGAACATCCACAGAATTGATAAAGAACAGCCAGAATGGATAAAGAACATCCACAGAATGGATAAAGAACAGCCAGAATTGATAAAGAACAGCCAGAATGGATAAAGGACATCCACAGAATGGATAAAGGACATCCAGAATGGATAAAGAACAGCCAGAATGGATAAAGAACATCCACAGAATGGATAAAGAACAGCCAGAATTGATAAAGAACAGCCAGAATGGATAAGGGACATCCACAAAATGGATAAAGGACATCCAGAATGGATAAAGAACATCCAGAATGGATAAAGGACATCCAGAATGGATAAAGGACATCCAGAATGAAAAAAGGACATCCAGAATGGATAAAGAACATCCACAGAATGGATAAAGAACATCCACAGAATGGATAAAGAACATCCACAGAATGGATAAAGAACAGCCAGAATGGATAAAGGACATCCAGAATGGATAAAGGACATCCACAGAATGGATAAAGAACAGCCAGAATGGATAAAGAACATCCACAGAATGGATAAAGGACATCCAGAATGGATAAAGGACATCCAGAATGGATAAAGGACATCCACAGAATGGATAAAGGACATCAAGAATGGATAAAGAACATCCACAGAATGGATAAAGGACATCCAGAATGGATAAAGGACATCCACAGAATGGATAAAGGACATAAAGAATGTATAAAGGACATCCAGAATTGATAAGGGATCAAATACTCAACCCAAAGTGTGCATCCTGGACAAAATGGTATAGCATGCAAACACTCAAAAATAAGACTTGATCCCACTCATCAGGATGTGAGGACTTATTACTGGTATATTACAGGATTTCTTAAAGTTTGAATTGTTAGAGTACTGACATTTATTTCGAAAACATTGTAAACTGAGATAGATAAGGATTTTTCATATGTGAAATATGTTATAATGACATGTATAATGGATACATGGGTTCTGAGTCTTCAAACACCTGTGTAACTCATGATCATGAGTCACTGCATAAGGTTCCTCTATCATCATTTCCTCAATACTGTTACTCGAGAGTCGCTGTATAATGTCCATCTTCAATCCCTTCCCATATAAAATTACTCAAGAATCACTTTGAAAGTCCCCCCTCCTCCCTTCCTAAAAGCAGTTACATACAAGTCACTGTATAAAGTTCCCTTCTGTCACTTCCTAGTAAAGCTACTCAGGAATCACTGTACAAGGTCCATCTCCAATCTTTGTATATAGTTTGTAACGAGGTACTATAGTAGGTCCCTCTCCACCCTTTCCCAATACAGTAAAATGAGATACTCTGTAAGGTCCTCCTCTCACCCAATAGTTACCCACAAATCATTGTATAAGGTACCCCTAAAATCCCTTTCCAAATAAAGTTACTGATCAAGAAAGGTTCCTTTCCCCTTTCACCCCCAAATGGCCAAACAAAGTTATGCCCAAGTCACTCCATAAAGTACCCTTCCCATCTCTTCATCAACAAAGTTACTACCAACTGAGCCACTGTATCATCCCATCCCTTCCCGAATACAGTTGCTCACAAGAGAGTCACTGTAAAAAGTCCCCCTCCCATCCCTGTGTTCTGCTAGATATCTTACAACCATTTTTAGGAAGCGTGGGAAAGTCTACACGAAATGCAGACAAACAACAAATCATCAACAGACTTGTTTAATTTAACATAGAAATGTAGCCATCTTAATTTTGGGGATTACTATGCCATACATAATGGCTCGAGTAGACTGTGATAGGAAGTGTGTATCTCTAAATTACAGTCTCATCACCTGTGGAGCTGGATTCTTTAATAAAACACTACATGTATGCAAGTTAACTACACAAAACCTATTTTAGTATAAATGTATGGGGTAATTAGGTGATACCATAACACACTGCCTTGGTTGATATAATGTTAAGTGAGTGCCATGTCGTTGAATATACCACAGAGGCCTTTGTATATCAGCTAATGATGGGTAACATAATCTTATATTGTTTTATTGTTAATTACATGTAGCTGGCCTATAAGGTGAAATCCTGATCCTTTTTGAAGTTGTATCAAAACTGTATGCAGTGTTGAATATTGTTCAACATGTAAAAACTAGGAAAGTCAATCAAATATTGGAATAAGAAAATGATTTCTGAATATTCCTTTTTTCTTTTTCCATTCTGAACAGAGTTTTGTATGCTTAAACATCAAGGTATAATTAGTGTTCAAAGTTTTACACATCATGACAGTAACTGGCCTAAGGTCACCGCTACCCAGGTAAATTTCGCACGTGAGCCATGCACGTGAAACAACAGAGATCAAAGTGGCACAAGCTGCAATATTGTCTTTAAAGTTCGGTGTTATAGCACTGTTGTCCTGCCAAAATTTCAATTGGCACATCCATGATGATGTACTTTGTGAATAGTCATGACCATGTGGACACATTTCAAAAGAAATCCTTACTAATTTATGTAAAACGAAGTGTTGAATGAACCATCATTTAAATATTAGCTTCTATTATATATTCAGTTTGATGTCTTGTTGTTTTCAGCCTAATAACAAAAGATGCTGTTGTACTGGGTTTGGATTCAATGTTATTTTTGTTAAAGTGATAATAGTAAAACAACTAATGTTATAAAGTACATGTACTACCACAATTATCACATTGAAAAAGTCGTTAATATTTGTTTCAATAACATTGCTATTTCCAAGTTTTAAAATATGAGAGGATGAATTTGTGTCTTCTTTTTTTTATTATTTCCCATAAACATTTTCTTGTGTTTTTTTTCATTTTTGTAATAACAGAGTTTAAAAACAAGACAAATAAGCCTCGAAATTGGTCTTATTTTTTACCAACTAACATTTGCAGTTAAATTACCTATATACTATGACTGTCATTTTGCGAGGGAAAAAAAAAATGCAAAAAAAAACAAAGCTGTTTTAGATAACATTTTTTTCCACACTGGTATTTATCCAAAAAATCATATTTTCAATAATCATTGGTTTTTTCGAAAAACCATGAAAATTGAGACCCATGCCAATGATAATCTATATTATTTTCTAATTGTAAAGTAATTTTCTATCAAATTGACATTCCCAGTGTTCATATACTAGTCCATATTTCCCCCCAAAATTACTGATGATCAAATAAAGCCATCAATCCAAAACCATTTCAAACTCTCTCTCTGACCTACTTCTCCCTGTAGTTCTCTCTGTTTCTCTCCCTTCTGAAGTCTCGGTCTTTTCTTTATGGTTGTTACAATAAAGTGGAAGAATCATGAAATCATCATGATTGATGCAAGAAGTAGGACAGAAATTGATTTAAACCCTTGAAATAGTGTTTATCTGGTTACCCACTTTTCTACTGTGGCTTTTATAAGATGAATTATTAAACAGCATTATGATATTGCAAAAATCCTAACCCATTTGTAAACTGTACATGCTTGCTTTACTTTTATGTCCAAACCAAACAGGCATTTTAATGTTGAACTTTGTTACCTTCACCTTTCTATTTGTCCTTTCACTTTACCTGCACATTGATATTTTGTCACTCAAATTTACCAGCACCTTGAAACTTTGTCTAAACTCAATCTGCACATTGATATTTTGTCTCACAACTTTTATACTTGCACACTGAAACTTTATCTCTCAGCTTTACCTGCACATTGATATTTTGTATCCCAACTTTACCTGCACATTGAAACTTTGTCTCTCAATTCTACCTGCACATTGACACTTTGTCTCTTATTTTTACCTCCAAATTGACAATTTGTCTCTCAATAAAACTGCCACTTCTACTGTGTTTGACTTTCTGAACTGTCATCAAATGGCTGTCTGCAGTAGGCCCATATATGAAAATGTATATATATATACACATATCTCAAACTTTTGTATCCATACTCGTAAAGAATTATAAATATAACTAACAGTGACAAAAATTAGACATATTCTGAATGGAAGGAAAATCCACTGGATTTAAAAGGACAATAACTATACAAAATGCTTATATTGCACTGAACATGTGTGGTGTCCATTGTAAATTTCCTGTTTTTCTAAAAGATGCAACCCAAATATTGTCAAGATCAAAGCCTAAATAAATGCCATGAAAAGCCAACTATTACTAAATCAATGTTTTACATCAATAAAATTAGATGAAAACAGTAACAGAATTCCTCTGTAGGTGTTGGCGTTGGGCACTGCGATCTCTAGCATCCACAATTAAACGTTATAGCTCAATGATGAATGTCTCGTAAACGTGTCGCAGCTCAAACCTTCAGACAACATCAAATGGAAAGTCAATAACACTGAAAGCGATCTGCCACAATAAAAATGAAGAATTGTAGAAAAAATTGAATGGAAAAAAAGTGGAAAAATTTCATTATAAAATTGTGATACTGCACTAGGAATAAGAATGACACAAAGTAATGCATACATGTCAGTGTCATATTGTCGTTAACGCCCAATACGACCGATACAGTATGTTAGGCAGCGGGACAACAAGCAGAGATATCTGCTACCCTAAACCATTATAAATGTGTGTCTGCTGTGACAGTATTGATAATATGCTGGTCAGGAGGAGGTTGCTCTATCCCCAAATGATTATACTTCACATTGCATCCCATGCATTGTCTTTTTACATTACATGCATTGTCTTTACCACTGCAGTCCAACACTGGAATGACTCAGAGCGACCCACAAAGCAATGCTAGGGTTCATCAAGCTCATGAGTGTTCACCAAGACATGATTATGTCATATAATGTATGAAAGACAAATCTAGTCATGAACGGCAATGACCTATATATGTGACATACTGATCTACATTTCTTTTAATGGGGTTGTAAACCAAAACTTGAACCGGTTTGTAGGATTTTTCAGGCAAGTCCAGAATACTTATTCCAAAGTTTTGATGAATCCCTATATATAGCTAGATACTATGAAATATAGTGTGTTTCCAAACAATAGTAAGTCCAACTGGTAAATCACAAGTCCTGGACTCAAATATCTGAGTGCCCAAAAATCATTGCAGTGAAGCACTATTTCTTAACTTCTATTCTGATATGACAGCCTTTTTCATAATGAATTTATGAATGGTGAAAACTGATTTAACCCTATTCTTTTATGCGTAATGTTAAAACTTGTGAATTCAGAAAAAGAATACTATTAAATCTTTGTATGTTACACTAGGATTTGAAGTACATTATAATCCAGCACTTCATTTACATATACATATGTAGAATCCTGTATTACCATAATAACTTATCATGTAGCAGTGATTTTTGGGACACAAAATTTATTGAACATTGCTAAAGAAAAGTGTTAAAGTAAAGTTGCCAATGTGTTATTTAGACACAAAAGCAAACGAGAAATCAAATTAAAATCCCTTTCATCCTTTCTTCTTCAAATTCTTCAAAGTCACCATAAATTACAACATTGTTTTTGGATTTAATATACCTGTTACATAAATTTTGGTGCCTGTTTGCACCTTTCCTATAGGTGATGGCGTTCAACATTTCTGTCCTGAGCTAACCTAACAAAGCGAAAACTGTAAAATTACTTCCAGGGATGATAAGAATTGAGGCCAAAAAATGATAGCCATACTGATATGTCCCCTCCAGAACAGGTTCACAATAGTGAGGATGTTAATTATTTGTATCATTAACACATCAAAGAAAGGATCTTTACACCTAAATCTTTGTCAATTAATTAAGGAAATGTTATAGAGATTCAGAGCCGTAAGACATAATTGCCTTCACTTCAATATCGAATACATTTGTAGGTAGCTTGGTGAGAACCATATCAAAGATTTTCATGAAGAAATCAAATGTCCATTCTGCAAATGAAAATTTACTGTTTGAAACAAAAGATCAAATTTCAGATCAAATTTCATTCACCTTAGTATATGTATTATATAGAACTGAACTGTAACTTTTGTCATGTATGTACATGTCATGTATCCCAACACCAAAACTGGTACTTGGTAAAAGGGATTTTGACAAGGACAGTTTTGTCAGTCATGTACATCATTGCAATTTAAGTTCAGATATGCAACAGGCAGTTTATTGATGCATTCAGGGCATTTTTTAATACTTTATTATTTTTTAAAATGCCAAACTAAGATTAACATTTTTCAAGGATTTTTTACTTTGATACAACATTGTCTTTATGCCAGTCCTTGATAAGTTGACAGTAACTTTAAAGTTAAGGTACTGAATGAATACGTAACAGACATTTGTCTGTTCTTTTTTGTGTTGTTATTGTCCTATATGTGATATATTTTGTTTTGATTTATCTGTTGCCTTGCTCTAGACTACAATTACACATACAGATTTTTTTTCTGTCTTACAGCAAACAAGTTAAGGACTTCATTAAGAAATATACAGGCAATCAGGAGATATTTTGAAGGAGTGAGATCTTACAGAAATAAATACAGTATGTTTTTACACCATAAATCAGGATTTAAAGTGAAGAATGCTTTATTTATAATTTATTTATAATGTCAATATCAACATACATACATATTTTAATAAAGTGGTGAAATTAATTTCTTTTAAAACTTCCCAGATAGAAATCACTCTTTCCAATTTCTTTTATGTAATAATGCTTGTGCAAGTATGACATTTTATTTTTCAAATGATTGTATTTTTAATTATACAAGATTGTATATTACGTGACAGCTAATTTCATTTAAATTGACCTAACCATACATAAGTGTTTGATACTTATCAACAGTTTTACTTCTAATTGATTAAGTTCCTTTCAAGATACCAACATTTTAAACCATCAAACTGACAAGTGATCTGGAAAATATTTGACATCTCCACCCATTTGAACCTTCTGTTATCAGTTTTATTGGAAGTCATATGAAATTAAATGATATTTTTGGTGCTTTGAATATATCTGATAAGTTGATCTTTCAGTCATGAGATATTTAAATCAATCTTAAAATATAACATTTCCTTGGATTCTAATCTTTCTATCAAATAATTTGATAACATTTTTCTTTCTTCCTTTTACACAAATTTCACAATTCAGCGTTTATTTCAAAATAATTATGCAATTCATGATGCAAATATGGTTATATAGATATGTGTGTTCTTTGCTCACTACACAAGCATAAAAAACAAAAGTCTTTAAGTTCCTGTAAACTGTTATTACCAAAACACAGTCAGGTAGTTCTGACCTCTAAAAACCTGAAACAGTTGAGCCTTGTTGTAAAACTATAAGAAGTTGACTCTGAGTGGGTAGATCATGTAACACGATATTTTTATTCATAAATCAAATTGATTGTAGTCCATTGTAGGTAAGTTGTTGGACTAAATATGATCAACTCATTGTTATACATACTCCAACAGAATAGTACAATGACCTGTCTTTGTTGTTAATTACTCTAATCGTTTGTGATTTATTGAACTGCCATACTACTTCATATTTATTATAGTGAACTTCCAAATTCTTGTAAACAGATCATAACTAACAGGTCAGAATTCTTAAATCAAGATTTGTGTCATAGATATAGTAATCAAATTATTAATGAAATGTATTTTCATAAAAAGTTGTAACATTAAACATTTTTCATTTCACTTTAAAAAAATATGTTTTACATCTTGATATCTAGGTTTATCTGTTATCAAACTAACAAAAAGATATTTCAACATTTTAATTAGATTGTTCAGTAAACATTTCTAGGTATAACTTAAATCCAGATTTAAAACTAACCTGTGAATCACCACAATGTGCTCGGTCATTTGCCTGGATATCTTGACATATTTTCATTTCATTCCAAAGACAAAGCAGAATCCTATATCAAGTCATATAGACAGTTTTTCTTTGAAATTGTTTATTTTTGTCCTTTAAAAAGGTCATTTACTCTTTCAGATGCTGATAGTGACTTTTGTATGCCTAAATGAATCAATATTACATATTGGTATCAGATTCAGTGATATACAATTTCAAGTTGTATAACCCTATAAGCAAAGTAAATTTCAGTAACGTACACCAAATATTAATTTTAGCAGTTGACTCATATATTCACTTCAAAGGAGAATCCAAATTTCTGGAGCCAATTCATCAGCTTAGTAGATGTATGGCTGATAGTAGTATAACTGTTTTTAGGCTGCCATGGTAACATGTTTTTCCAATTAGCAAATTATGAGTATGTTCATGTCCAACATTACTTGTCTATAAACACTTACAAATTCCTGAACCCCACATTAATATTCTTGACAAAAATATTTGGAAAATTACCTTGAATAGATTAAAAAAATAGATTTTTTATGCAAATATTTCTGACACTTCAGTCCAAACATATATTCTTTTGGGTGGAGTGTGGGCTGGGGGAAAAATAGTGGGTGAAAAATGAGAAAAATGTTATTAATTTGCCATTTAGCCAATTCAAAAATTAATTCAGATAAAATCATATAATGGTTTCATCTTTTATCATTTACAAGTTTAAAAAACATGGTAAGATTTAAAGAAAAAACATAAAAAAAAAACGTTTATGAAATAAACACCATACGGTAAATTGCAATGATAGTAATGAGAAGTTCATTATCGACATATACAATAATCAATCCGTTTCATGAAAAGTTAGGAAAATATTCACCAAACTAATTAGATGTTTTTCCATATTATATAATGTCTTTTCCAACCCAAACAAAGAAAACACGCGGCAACCTGAAAAAAAGCTGTAGGGTCTTAGGCACAGTACAGCACCCATGCTGCTGCAGTGATGTGTTGTTATGTGAGTTTTCTAAACTTTGATGTGAGGTGTGTATTGGGGTTTGCGAAGTTTTTGTGTGTTCATAAATATATAATTAAACACAAAACAACATCAGCTAACACTTCAAGGATAAAATGATACATGATTGTGTCTGGGGAATCGTGTCAACAGGTGCAAACGTTAAAATGATGGGACGATCACAACACGAGTTTTACCTCCGATGGCCTGTAAAACCATGCAAAGCACTAATGCCAAGTGCCCCTGCATAGCTCCAGGGATTGAAGATTCCAAAATACACTAACTTCACATGTGTAACATTACACAATAAATCCACTGTGGTCAAAAAGAGTATATAAATCCTGGTAATTCCACTATTGTTAATTCCATATCCGATTTGAATTCACCGTAAAACCTTTTCGACCCTAATATACACTCTATGCAAAACTTTTCGCTCGTGTCACCGTTCAATGAATAACACCGTCCTACCTTATCCTTCCGCGCCTTGCGTGGGTACGCTGCCGAAATTCCTTCACAGATAAATTCTCGCTGATAATCTTTTGAGAAATAAAACATCAAAAATAAGTATCGGTGTGAATAGAATTATATATTTCTCTACCGTACTGTGTTTCTGAGCGTCAGTAACACATAAAGACTGAGGGACTATTTCTTAGAATGCTCTCTGCGGAGGTAGACAGACAGCTGCACTTTGTTGACATAAATCACAGTTTGAAGTGCAGGTTCGCGCGAGCTAGATAGCGTTAAGGCAGTCACGCTTGGATACTGACAAGATTCGGCACACGTCTTCCTTCCGACACACTTCGCAGAGTCATTGGAGGTGTGGCGTAATATATTTCTTCTAATTGGAGACATGACGCTGTTCTCAAATGTAACGGGTCTTTTTAACCACATGCTTTCACAGTAGCCTACATACCGTTATTAACGGTATAGCCTTTGAACGATACGGGATTCGGGAATACATTGCCTTGCGTGATATTTACACCACAACAGTCTAATCGGAAAAGCATGGCGAATTTCTATTCCATAATATTGATAAATTCTTGACCTTGCGATATATATCTGACAAAGTATAGTCTACTGAGAAAGTAGATCATGGCAAACAATTGAACCAGAACAGTTTTAGAATCCACATCAGTGTCTCGACATAAAAATAAATTGATGGATATCTTGGGTCGGCACATAATAAATAAGAGCAAAATATTGATTCCTTTTCAGTTTGTTGTCTACACTTTTGTCTTCAAGATACTCAATGTGACATCACGACAATATGACGTTAGCAATAAAAATGAAATAACACTGTATTTTCGATTATTTTCGAAAACAACAATCGTGACAAACTCCTACTGAACAATGTAATTGGACACTCTAAAGTATTTTATAGTGATGAATTAAACATTATTCTTTCGTAAATATATTTATGATATTAATAAGTATTTTAGCGTTTAATTGATACATCACAAATACAGAAAGAGAGGAAAGTAAAAACATCACACATTTACTACAGGACTAGAGAAACTAGTTTTTTCGTTGTTGGCGCCACTACTAAAGACTGTATATTAATTAATTGAATTTGCTCATCAAGTAAAAAGGAAATAATTACCAAAATAATTGTCTAAGATCACTGATCCTTAACTCATAAATATCAATAACTCATGAATTACCATAAGTATCGAAATCAGAACAGACAAAGTGAAAGTAGAAGTAGACCGGGTGAGGGAACTTTCCTTTCCGCTAGATGGCGTAGTATACATACTTCCGGTGATATTTCCCACGTGTTGTAAACACTTTTGACAACTTCATCGAAATGGTTCGTAAATTGAAGTTCCACGAGAAAAAACTGTTGAAGAAGGTCGATTTTATATCATGGGAGATAGACAACAACATTCATGAACTGAAGGTGATGAAGAAATATTATATACAGCGCAGAGAGGATTACACAAAGTATGTTTACCACAGACGTTTTGTTTTTGTAGATTACATCAAACACAAACAGACTTCCAAGTTAAGGTTTTTGCATATGAAAATATTTGGTGTAACTTAAGTGAAATAGAGTATTTTTCCATCGTGGCTGTTGATGTAGATTTTTTTTTATTATATCCATGTAATTTCTGATAAATGATTATCACCAAAGGTAGAATTTCGGTTAGTTTTAGATAATATACAGGTCAATACCGGGTCGCAGGTAAGTGTTGCAAAACCATCAACAAAATGATTCACAAGGACTCTGCTCAGATATAAAGAATATGAATGTTTTAATGTCTAGCTAGGGTAGAAGGCCGTCTTTTAACATTATTACTAGTTGGCAGCCAATATTCATACTGGACCATACCATCGTTATTACTAGGATCTATATATCCCATTTCCTTTTTGTCAGCCTCGATGTTGACGTACTTGTAGTTACCCTGCTGGCATTCTTATGCATCAATTATTTCTGTTTTACATTCATATAGAACTTGATTCTTCCCGTCTCTATTAGCTGGTAATGTATTTTAGGTTATACAGAATATGTTTTACATTTAGGTATAATAAAATGTCTCGAGAGGTCCGAGAACTTGCCAGGAAGATCAAAGAACTTGACGTCAAAGATCCGTTCAGAGCTGAGGCTACATCACAACTCATAGAAAAGCTGTAAGTTATGTTCGGTTTTCTCTCACTGATGCTTACCAATCAGATATTTCTAATTGTGAAAAAAGTTCAATAGTTCAGAAAGTGAATACATTATGAATCTGGTATTTACAAATGGGGGCCATCAGGCCTTTATATCCAGATCCTCTTCAAAAACAGAAATTTTGATATGACTTCAGGTATGACTGTAGAGACAGTGCATTTTTCACCTTACGTGGGGGAGAATTATATTTGTTAACAGTTCTTTATTTAAAGGAGCTCTTTCAAATGGCCTGTCTGATTCTTGAAATCGTCTGATCAGCTTTATTGCTAGCCCTCAATCTGTTGGTTGCAGGTTTGAGATCTATGTAGGGTAATTGCTAGGTACAGACAGCAGGTTGGTGGTTTTCTGTGAGAATTTTGATTTTCCTTCACCACCCAAATCTGACAAATCCTTAAATGACCCAGGATGTTAACAAGAAATAAACAACAATCAACAAATTCTAGTTAATGCTCAAGTCATGACCTCTTGATCTTTTGTTTGGTTTAATCCATATTTATCTGCCTGATGCACATGTGATTCAGGTCTTTATTGACCTCAATGCTTCCATTATAATTTCAACCTGGGACCTTTGACTTACTAGTCTTAATGCTCAGCCAATCAAGCTAAAGAGAAGATCTCTCTAAACGAGTGGTACATTTGTTATGGACTTTACACATTTCTCTTTTGATGAATTTATTCCAGTTAAACATGTTTCTTATTATATTGCCTTAGATTTTTCAGTATCTAGGGTTTGACATCTTAAGGTGTTTCAGTCTATCCTTAAGAGAGGGTTCTATACACACGTTTAATACTCAAGATGTGGTCATAACAGAGCTTGTGAAAGAAACTAAAGTTGTGTTAACCATTTATGGGTTTGATCCTGTTAGTAACCTGATTGTTTTATTTGTTGCATCATGAACATGATTGTCAAATTTGAGTGGGTTTTGCATTATAATTTCTGAATCTTTCTTTTCATTGGTGTAAGATATATGCAGGGTTTTGCTACCTATTTTGAGAAATAGTCATTGAGCTAAAATTGGAATAATATCAGTGACATTTTTCACAAACCGAATGATGGGGGAAAAGTACTGTGAATAAAATTAAAATACCTACAAAAACATTAAGGAAAAAATAAGCATTTAATTCCTCTAGCAAATTATTTAACATTTGAAAATAATCTTTCAGTGCTTGTGAAGAATTTATCTCGTTTTTAGAATTATCTTTCTTTTTGTAATTTGGAATTTTGGCCCAGCAATCCATCTTGATTATTAGTAAGATATGTTGTATTTTCATATATCTGTCCTAATGTCACAAATAGAATGTAAATCAAGGATTAATAGTAAGTGAATCATTTATGTGTATTTTTTTGTGCTTGACATGGAAATATTGCTGTATTTCCATTAGACTGAATGCCTGCAATAATCGTCTGAATTGATATGTCTCCTGACTGAGTCCCTTCCCACCCTTCCTTTGTTTTAGAAACTGTAGAATCTTTCATCTTTTCCAACATAGAATAGATGATATAAAGATTGTCAAGGTAATGACTGGAATTGAAGTGTTTTCATCAGTACCCCAATGGGGAAAATACAGAAGGAAATGGGGAAAATACATTTTCAATTTTCAGTTGAAAATGGTCCTTGTACCTGACCCTATAAGATGCCTGGCAAAAACCCTGATTTTGGTTCATTATCTGCCTGCTGTTGTGACTTTGTATAAAAAGAAAAGGACCATCATGTTTTGTTTTTTCTTTTGTCAAAACCTTGTATAATATCAAAGACCAAACTTTCTGGGCATTAGGAATCTTGTAGTACATCAGACACATTGGGAAACTTAAAGATTTGGCACTCACCCTAACATTGGTTACAAGTTCCAAGTGACAAAGGGTTTAACATTAAGTCTACGAAAACTAGACTTCCGTGGACTTAGATGGATCTTAAAGTGTACCCTGAGAGGTCAGTTATGTTGACCTTGAAAAATAGTTCTGCACATAAAATACACTATGCCGAAAACGCGAATGCCGTGGAATGTTCCGTTACTGAGAAATTGCGACTTTTCTGAAAAACACACCTTTGGCTGAGAGGCGTTGACCTCGTTTTCGGGCACCCAAACCTGTGACGTCATAAGTTCAACGCTTTTGTTGATGCAGCCATATTGGCATTACTGTGCTACATGTGATTGTGATCTATTTGGGGATTTTCCGTGGTAATTTCTTTGTTTATTTACGTAAAAGTACTTCACATCTTCGCAATATCTAAGGTAGTGAACGAGGGGTTGGTGAATTAGCGCTTAAATCCGCTAAAATGGCTTCCTATCGAGGAGGGAAGCGGTGTGTAAGGTTGTCCTAACACTAACACGGATGGGGTGTCGATGCATGACGTCGATAAATAAAACTGATTGTTGATTCAATAAAAGTATATTTGTTAGGTTGATATTTTGTTATTAATTCTACAACTAAACATTGTAAATTGATAGGCTAGCCTATGACTTGGGCGGTCATAGGAATATTATTCCTTCGTAATCGTGAACGCCTAATACTCGGAGAAGGCCTAGTCGTGAATGGGTCACGGGAATTTTCACCCCGAGAATTTTCATACTACTATTATATAGTATAGAATAGAATTATTAGAATTTATATAATAGGTTATGTGTGTATGTTGTTTGTATAAGGTGTATTTGGTTTTTAGATCTTCCAGCAGACGATGTTGTTTAGTTATTAATTTTGCGATCGTAAAAATAACAATAAGATCACCAATCTTGATTTGAAAACACAGTTCACAGTGTAGAGATGTCATCTAAACTCATAATCACACCTGTGCCAGGTTAGGTAATTAGCACCTCTCTGGCTGGAAAAAACAATTGTGACACCTGTGAGGCGACACGCCTGTCGGCTAACAACAGACGCGTACCAGTGATAGGGTAAAAACAAGTCAAATAATTGTTTAAACTTCTAAAACATCAAATTTTTATTATTAACGCAGCGGAGGGTGTTATAATTGGTTGTTGACACCCTATCTATATATATCCATAGTGCTACGAAAATTCCCTAGAAAGAAAAATTCCCCTCGGACGAAACTTCTGCGGTAAGAAAATTCCCGGCACCTCGTGAATGTATCCATAGTCTTGCACAAACGCGATTTCCCGACGTCAGAAATTGTTGATCGAAAATTAGTCCAAAACCACACCCAATTTTATTTTGTTTCTTTGAAACGACGATTCACTGTTCGACTACTTTCACGACTACTGGTGAGACCCAGTGAAGTACGTGCCAATCTATGTTGCCCAAGCGATCATCACTTTTCGAAGGGTCATTTTCCTCCTCACTGGATACATCGTCTTGTAATTCCAGTTCAAATCGGTAGGGCTGGATTCCGTCTTCAGACATATCATTCACACCATAATCAGACTCCTCAAAACTCATGCTCAAATCGCTCTCAGTTGCGGTGTCAGTGTCACTGTCAGTCATGTTGACTGCCATTTCTGTTGAACTTATGACGTCACGAGTAGCAGAGCCTCGATTCCGTGGAAATGACGATTTGGCTGATTAGGTCTGGGCGGACAGGTGAAAATCGACAACTTTGAGCTTTAATAACTCGACACTGGGGCGACAGATTTTGACGGGGTTTTCATTATTATTATTTTTACGGCATTCTTAACATTATATCTAAATATAAAATCACTCTCAGGGTACACTTTAAGGTAAGCAGGCCAATCTGTTGTATGGGAGTCAAAGGATGTAAACAGTTGGCCAGTAGGGCAGTGACAGTGTATACATAACTGATCCAAATGTGATGTATGGCACTTGACAATATGAATCCTTCATTCCTGTGATTTACTCGTGGTTATTTGCAATAGTCATCAGAATGAAGTGTAATTAAGCATTGCCCACATAAAAATAAGTGAGTTGTTTAGATGTTGGATTACAAAGAATATATAGAGAAAAAGTTGACTGGGTAGATCTACTTTATCTGTCCTCTGTCATCTTGTGTACACATTCCCTTGACTGGGTAGATCTAGTTTATCTGTCCTCTGTCATCTAGTGTACCCATTCCCTTTACTGGGTAGATCTACTTTATCTGTTCTCTGTCATCTTGTGTACCCAATCTCTCAACTGGGTAGATCTACTTTATCTGTCCTCTGTCATCTTGTGTACCCATTCCCTTTACTGGGTGGATCTACTTTACCTGTCCTCTGTCGTCTTGTGTACCCATTCCCTCGACTGGGTAGCTCTACTTTATCTGTTCTCTGTCATCTTGTGTACACATTCCCTTGACTGGGTGGATCTACTTTACCTGTCCTGTGTCATCTTGTGTACCCATTCCCTTTACTGGGTAGATCTACTTTATCTGTTCTCTGTCACCTTGTGTACCCATTCTCTCGACTGGGTGGATCTACTTTACCTGTCCTGTGTCATCTTGTGTACACATTCCCTCGACTGGGTAGATTACTTTATCTGTACTCTGTCATCTTGTGTACCCATTCCATCAACTGGGTAGATTACTTTATCTGTACTCTGTCATCTTGTGTACCCATTCCCTTGACTGGGTAGATCTACTTTATCTGTATTCTGTCATCTTGTGTACCCATTCCATCAACTGGGTAGATCTACTTTATCTGTCCTGTGTCATATGGTGTACCCATTCCCTCGACTGGTTAGATCTACTTTATGTGCCCTCTGTCATCTATTTTGTTTACGTGGAAACCCAAACGTACCATTCAGAACATTTCTTACACATATATATCAACATATTCGAAACATATAGAACTGCCTTACATGTACGATAGTTGCTCAATGATATTTTGTTCTGAACAAAATCATAAAGAGCTACTTCTTTAATAAATACTTTGATTCTGAACAAAACTATGGATAACAAGAATAAATATTGCCTTGGATACCAAGACTACATAATATGTCTGTGGATACAAAGACTATCTAAATATGATGGATGGATTCACAGACTATATAATATGGACATGGATAACA